TATTTGATTTTCATCTAAAAACCACCCGACGGCCTCTGACCTCTCTGCTAAGTACCTGGTCCATATGATTTCAGGTCGCGTCGACGTCGCGCCTAGCCGTAAGCTTCACCAATCAGCTCAATAACGACGTAGTACGATCCGAATAGCCGCTACCCGCTGCGCTTGATTGAGCTGAGTTCGGCAGCGGGAGGAGGCCGATAGGCGCTTAGCCCATATCGGCGCTCTGTAGAGGGTCATTGATCGTATCACCGCACAGTAAAGGCGGCGAATTTTCTCCCACGGATCCGCTAGATTAGACCACATCGTCTGTAGGGAGCCTGCCACCCTGAGAACTCGAGGTTTAATCCGTGCAAAACGCTCCTCCTCCTTTGCGGCTTACTATAGACGACAAGCTGACACAACACCCTAGTCTGTAAGCTGGGGACTGCACCTTGAGGGCGTACGCATTATATACACCGCAACAGCAGAACTGGCACGTATGCGGCAACCGCATATGCTCCCGCCGTCGAGAAGCTGGGTGCCCGCAAGCTGTGCAAAGAGGATTCGGTCAAAAGATCTGCAAAACGTACCGCACTGTCTCCCTCAACTCAGCCTTATTACTGGCCGGGTACCTCTGGACCTTCAGCATCAGAGAAGCAGCCGCTCTCTACGAACTTCGCAAAGGGTCAACCCGGCAAGTGCGGTGGGACCGAGATTTAGAACGTGTGGCATCCAGCTCTGCGTATGGACCAGAGTCTGAAGGACCAAAGCCTGGTAGACAAACAGAGGCCTTGACTAAGGCAAAGATGTAACTTTGTTCTAGATCAAGGCCCACGCCGGCATCGACGGCAACGAGCGCGCCGAACAATTGGCTGAGGAGGCGGCACTATTGAGTCCGAGGAAGCCCGACTACGACCTGTGTCGTGTTTCATTCGTCAAGCGACAAATATGCAGCGACTCGCTCGACGAATGGAATCCGAGATACCACACGTCCTTCGTCCTCCGTCACGAGAGTGTTTTTCCCAGTCACTGCTTGGTGCTTAAGATCCGACCCTAAGGCGTTGCTATGCAGATACTCACGGGACATGGCGGGTTCCCATACTTGCATCGCTTCAAGTGTCGGGAGAGCCCGTCATGTATCTGCTACCCAGCGCAGGACGAAGACGTCTTACACGTCATTTTTAAGTGCCCCATATTACGGACCCTGAGGTACGAAGCTGAGCAACGCCTTGGAGTGAAAATCGTGAGGAAAGAGGCACATCTACTGGACACAAAAGTCATAAGACCGCAATTTTTAGAATTCGCATCAAAAATTAAAGAATAAAAAGATCGAATAAATTGAAACAGAGCATGACTAAGGCTCTTGTAACAGTTTGAAAGGTTTTAAACCTACCCCTAAAAAAAAACCGTAGGCCTTGACCGCTGATCTTTTGGACGACACAAACTACCCCATCTCGGCTAGTTCCGAGTCCTCCACCGCGTACTAAAGACTAGTTCTTGGGACTACGTTATGCGCGAGGTTCTACAGAAGAGGTCCTAAGAGTGATGCCTGGGGAACCCTACTTATAAGGGAGGTTTCCTCAAACATTCTTAGCCGTCTCGATCCATATACGATATGGACCTGTTGTGAAAATAAGCCCTGAAGATGTCCCGCAAGTAGGGTAGCAACTGGTAATATACCAATGCCTTCCGATCACCAACCATCGGAGGAAGTTTAAAGCGTTGACTATGTCAAGACAAGTGGTAAACATTACTTTCACCGACTCCGACAGACAACCTCTTCCTTTCTTTAACCGCAATACAAGACATTTACACAAGTACAGCTTCCGCAGAAAGAAGTATTTCTGAGTTTAAAATGATTAAAAACTACTTAGAAACAGTATCAAGTAGGCTCAACTGCCTGCTTAGCAATACTTACCATCGAAGCCGATATAGCTGCAAACATTAATTACAAGTCTACAAGACTTCAGTAAAGCAAAACGTGGAAGAAATTATTTTGGTTAGAAATTAAATCACGCAAGTTAAGAATTCCAAAGTCGATCTAAGTGGCGTGCAATGGGAGAGGCTTATGTCCAGCAGTGGACTACGATAGGCTGATGATTAAATTACAAAATTAAACCTTTTCAAATCTATATGCTTTCTAATATTCTGTTATGACGCGCATTTTTTTTCACTACTCATAGTATGTCGTGTCAAAGCATGTTTGGTAAAATAGATGTATGTCTACCTATGTCTTGGGAAAGAAAGAAAGAGGCCTCACTGATGCGACTTTGTCCACGTCTATATTATCACGTTACGCCTCTGGCGGTGATGGACGGCGGTGTGGCGACGTATTGCAGAACAAGTTACATATACATAGCATTGTAACGCATGCTGTGGAAGAAGGAATAGCCGCAGCCAACGGCTAGGAGAAGTCTTAGCGCCGAGAAGTAATGCTAGCGCGGTTCCGTGGTTCTAGGTACAAGAGAGGGGAGGTTTTCAGTGGGTCAAAATCCCACACTAACGGTCTACAACAACTTGACAGGGGTTTTTCTTTTTTAAGTTTTCCTCCTCTCAAACATCATGAAAAACATCTGAGCATTAGGTGTGTCATATCAAAAATAAAGAAATGACCACCAAGCGATTGGTTATAGGGTAAGGTGAGACCAAAGTGAATGTCCAAAGTATCAAAGAATTATGTGGTTGATATCCTGGTTGTGATTCGGGGTTGATCAAGAATGGACTTGACTATTAGCATTTAAGTGGAATTCTCAAAATACGTCGCCAACAACACATTTTAAGGGTGCCGCCTAATTTTAAGGGTGTCCTCTGTCCAACGACAACCCATTTTTCTCAAGACGTTCCACAAGCGTTGCACGTTATAGAACGTTTTATCACCATCATCAGCCAATTGCAGTCCACTGCTGAATGAACGTCTGCCCCAAGGTCTTGGCAAACCGCATCCATCCGCTGCCAGCCATTTTCATGGGGGATCGGCGACTCGAAGATATGACGAAGCTGTCCATATGTCGCCGAGCCCAGATGAATTCTTCTATTAGCCTCCCGATCGAAGTAGTGCCGGCCGAGTTGGATAGTTTGGCCAAGATAGACGCATTCTTGGACAACCTCTATAGTAGCGCCATTTACGGCTACGGGACTCGAGGATACATGCCTATTCAACATAATCTTGGACTTACCAATGTTCATTCCAAGTCCCACTCGTCTTGAAGAATCGTCGAGACTGTTGAGCATTTCTTCCCGATCATGCAGAGAACGCTTTAGAGTAATGTACAAATAATAACCAAGGGAATATTAAATATACGAGTATGTATAATATTATATAATTTATTTGGTATCATTTTAACTGTTGGAACGAAGTGCCTTATCGCGCGGTACACGCTCTGAATGGATGGGACCGAAAGCGAAAAATGTGTAATCATCATCATCAGCAACAGCCCTTAACAGTCCACTGTTGGACATAGGCCTCTCCTTACAATGTGTAACAAGACTTTTTTCCGACACTAAGCATCTACCAAAAAGCGAAAGGAACATCGTTCCAACTACCTATTGCCAGCGGCTTCGCTCGCGGGATTATTTCTTATTTTATGTTTCTTCTTTGAAAATGGCGATTTTCCATCCAACTTTTTATCCCTGATTGTACCCCTCAGATGTCAAATTTCCAAAAAATCTTTTTTAGTGGGTGCTTACAACATAAAAAGCATCAGCAAAATTTCAAGCTTGTTGCTCCAGCGGTGTTTGCTCTAGGTTGACGAATCAGATAGTCAGTCAGGATTAGTAATTTTATAATTTTAGATTAAGAAATTGAAAGTGTATACAATGAATTGTTTAAAATGAATCAACAACTTTTCTACTCTTATCTATCTAGGTTATTGCTGGCCAAGTCCCACCGAGTGGCCAAGTCCGATAACATGGCCATATTTCACTAGCCGGATAAATGTGCTAGTCTATTCGCAGTATTCGCACTTACTTCACAGCAGTTGGTACAAAAAAGTTGGTTTTTTTTTTACGAAATGACTTTTATTTACATATTACCTCCGAATAATTCTGTTAAAAACCTTATTAGCCATTACCTCTTTTAATTGTAATCATTTACGTAGTAAATACGAATATACTTTTCTTTAAAATAACATTATTATTTTAATTTTATATCGCGGATACTTCCTACTGCGCTGAGTGTTGTGGGTTCGATCCCCACATGGGACAAAACTTTGTGCGATCTACAAATTGTTGTTAGTTAATGTCCTCACCCAAATACAAGCCATTAGTAGAATTTTATATAGAAAGGGATGGGACCTTATCACCAATATGTCCACAATTTTATTGTTCTGTGTACAGATAGGAGCGTTAATGTGTACGGCAATATCGTTATAGGTACTCGTATATGACTAAATGATTTGACTTCTTATTAATGTGTTAGTTATTATCGAGGTAAATTAGTTACTCTTTATTTAAAATGAAAAGGACATAATAGTACACAATTATACTTAAGGTAGTAACTTGTAGGAACATATATGAGAAGACTCGATTCGAGTAATATCGCGCTATTTACCAAGCAAGTTATTTACCGGAGTGTCAAACCCCCTCGTTCCTAATTCTGGAGGTGGGAGGTAACACTGGAAGGATGGCAATACATGGGTTTCATGCAATTAGTGGGTAAGATGTCATATGCGACTACTATGAGACTAAGTTTGTATAGGTATTTTTAAGCATTGTTATCATGCACATTATGAAAACATTGGTAATTGTCCTTCACTGTAATATTACTAGTGAAATAATCTGCACAATGATTCTAAGTTACACCTGAGCCCGGCAGAATCATAAATTGGAGAAATCCCCTGGTGAGTCGACAACGTGTCCTGTGGAATCTTATCTTAATCTAATAATATGAAGCTGAACATGGTAGGCGACAAAAGATCTTATAAGAAAATAGGAGTGGTTCTAAGGGATAAAAAATAACAAAGCCAGTGAACAAACACTAGTTTTATTCCTTTTGCAGCCAAGTGCACAGAAATTTCTACAGCTCAGTTTTCTTTCTGGTCACTTTGTGTGGAATTGTAGCAATAGTACCCGTTTCTACTTGGACTTAATCTATAAATAGCATCTTTATCCGAATATATAATATTATTACTATATACTCCTGTAGGTATAAGTACAATACTAGAGAGGTCGTCAATATGGGCTAGTTGTTTTATACTGCCGCTAACCAAATCATCCATATAGATTCCATCTTTTGCACAAAAATAAGCATTACCGTAAATATCTTCTGTTATTTGCCTTACAGTAATGTTATTCTTAATCAAAATCGCTGGATCAAAGGGCATATGATGATTCTCAACCATGTATAAACCAGTGTCGTTGGAAAAATACAATTTGGAATGTTTGGTAATAAAGAAATTCTCTACATGCACGTCGGCAACTTCTTGCACTTTATCAAAGCTATTGTCTTTATAGACATAAAGATACTTTCCTTTGTACGTTATAAAATATATTTTTTTGTTATTGATGAACAAATCCCATATAGGCATGCCCTTTTCGTGTAAAATCTCCGCCTTGTTGGTCATGAAGTTGTATTTATAAACACCATCGTACCCCCCAAAGTATAACTCGTTATTTTGTTGATCGTAAAATATTGCATTGCCTCCATTAATCCCCATTACCGCGTTGCAAGTCTTATTGTGTATGTCACAGGATTTGATTTTTCTGAAGCTATAAGTATCATTGTTGACTGCATGGCTGAAGAATAGTTGTCCTGTAGCCCTGTAAATTTAATATTGTCTACACTAATAAACGAAATGAGATTTTTATGGTATAAAGGGTAAATGAGCAAATGGATCACCTGATGGTAAGTGACCACCACCGCCCATGGACATCTGCAATTCAGGACACATAAGTGCGTTGGCGCCCTTTGTATGCCCTCTGTGTGTTCACTCTCTGAGAGGGACATATAGATACAAATACGACTTCTATACAAAATTAAATTGAATCAACATACTCATGCATCACTAAGTTGTATGATCTTCCAAAATCTTTGAACAGCAGCTGCTTATCATAATATTGGCCGTTGAACACCACGCCATCACAAATGACATTTATATCAGATTGGGCTATAGAACTCCTTGCGGACAGAAACAGTAGCAGGAAATACATGAGGATCTGAAAAAAGAGTAAATATTTTTTTGTACGACAATCGGAGCAAACGAGCAGACGGGTCAAACGGTAACCATGTATATTTGCAACTCAAGACACGAGTGTATGGCTCCCGTCTCCTCAGAGTCAGAGGGATGGGGTTGGAGCTCCGGTAACCAGTAAGTGAGGGACACTCGGTGGAAAGAACGAAAAAACTGCTTTTCACCGGATTTCTGCCAGACCACTGTATCGTATTATCCGTTTGATAATTTTCCGTTTATAACCACCTACAACTTTTTAAGGGGAATACTGCAGGGAGTTGGTCGGATTTATACACCGGTTGCAGCTTTCTGCCATCGGTTGACCCTGCGAAACATCCATCCCCAACACTTGGTTAATGGCTCCATTACTGTGCGGTATTTGCCTCACACAGCTAATCTGTGGAACAAATTGTTGCCTGCGGTATTTCTGGACCCATACAACCTCCAAGTAAGAGGGCACTCCGACCTTGAAACTTAGGACTGCCATGGGCGGTAGTAGGTGGTCATTTTCTAACATGTGATCCGTCTGCTGGTTTTCCCTTTGTATCATAACAAAATATAAAATTTGTTTGACTGTTTGACGAATGAAATGTGATCTGATCTTCCGGCTACAACTCAATCAGACCTGAAGAAGGTGAATAAGCCTTCCCTCATTAACGTCTATAATGAATTTACTGTACAATATTTTGAAAACTGTTATAATATTAAAAAAATTTTTTTAATATTATAACAGTTTTCAAAATATTGTTTTCCCACCTGATAAAGGACTTAACACACTTCTTCTTCTCAAAATTGGTGTTTAAACACTTAAAACAAATGTTGAAATAGCAATAAACATTATAGTTACGTTTCAATTTTATTATCTTAAAAACTGAAATTGTTAAATTCTAAAGACTATATAATGTGCTATTGATTTCAATTTTTATGTTTATAACATTCCTATTGCAAAACAAATAGGTTAAAGTTGTTTAGCAACAATGTATCGTTTTTCATTTTAAGAGAAACTTAGTAAATTTATCAGTAGAACATATATTACATGTTAAAAAAGTAAAAGGACAAGAAATACACTTTAAAAACATACCAACATAATAAATAAAAACAAATCAAGAACAATTAATACCAGTAAAAGCTAGCAAGATTATTTAATCATCTAAAGTTATATCAAATGATGTGAGAACACTCGATCTTTTTTCATTTACGTTAATTATTATCAGAAAATTATAAAATTAAATTACTTCGTTCTCTGAGTTGTGTTGTAAATAAGTGACATACTAACTTAATGAAATATTTATCAAACAATTTATAATAACACGTTTTAAATAGCGTCTATATACACTTATTGTTATTTATTGCAATGAAACGACAAATAAAAGTGTTTATAAGGTTAATCATTTGCATAACTTGTACTATCTTTGCGTTACTATTAGTAATATTATGGATTCTGCAAAGGAATAGTGATGGACGGGAGAGGTTTCGACAAGTAGGATTTTTTTGGACATTTCGCATACCAGATCATGGTCAAGTGACGGTGAGTTCAAGATAAGCTATACTTGAGAAGCCCCAAGCATGGGCTCGCATTTATTTAAATGACGTGTCGAATCATTAATTTCTTGCTATACTTCTTTTGACAGGCGCCACCGGAGACACATCCAGGCAGACTTAGATGATTACGATATTTCAGAGTTGTCTTAGGGAAAATGGAACTTAGCCGTTGGCCGATCTATTTTAAAGGCAACTGCGATTACTAGTAAAAAGTAATATATCAGCAGCAATATTAATCCAGGAAAAACGCTCTAAAATGAGAATCCAAAACAATTAATTTTCGATTAAAGAAGTTACCTTGAAATATAATTATATAATGTACTAGTAACTAGTTACATCTATATTAAGATAAGATAAGATCCATATATTAATACGTAAAGAGAATCCTTAATTCGCACTTTTTAAACGCCACAGACTATAGTGTGAAATTTTTGAAGTTTATATGAAGAAGAAGTGCAAAAAAAAAGATATGTGACATATGACATAAAGTTAATAAATTATGATTCAAAGAGCTGTATCAAGTTACAGAGTTCTCCTACATATTTTGTATCCATTATAGTGCAAAATTTATGTAATGACAGATCAAGATATACTGTTTAACGAAGTATAATATCAAGACGTTCAACAAAACACATATATTAACAAATACGAGTACACAAGCAAATATTTTACAAATTTTGCGTCTATACAGTCTGTAGAGCTAGAACCTTTTGTCTGTCTTTCTTACTGACTGTTTTTTCGGGTAATATTCAAACGGCTGGACTGATTTTGATAATATTTGTCTACCAGGTAGTTGTATATATAAGGAGTAACTTAAGCTATTTTTCGGTAAGTCGCGGGTACCAGCTAGTACAGTATAATTTGCTAATCGCACGCTTCTGCCCCTAATTCTAATGACTATTAAGATAAATTTTAGCATCGCTTTCAGATAGATGCTACCACCGAGTTCGATACGAAGAAAACCTATAAGTGGGTGCATTTTATCTAGTGTTGTGCACACATGCATGTGACCAATCAACAACTTTCGTATACGTCAGTATTAGACATGGAAATTATTGCTACTTTTAAATCAAATTCATTTAATGAAATGATTGGATTTAGTCACAGCGATCTTACAAGTGATTGTGATTTCGTCACAGACAAAGATAAATTGCATTAAAATCAATCAAAATTCTTTTTATCAAAGATCACGACCTTTTTTTTAGATTTTATAATAATAATAATTAAGTAGCAGTGGTTTTGTATATCAGTCACAGATGTGATGAAATATTCTATAAATTATATGATTTATCTCAAGTGATTGTAATTTTATGCCATCCCTAGTCAGAATTGACTGGTTATAATGTGTGTGTGTGTGCATTGAAACATCACACACACAGCACTGCCCTACAAACATTAAAGTACAGTAATTGTCAAATTGACTTTTTGAGGTAATAACTTTAAGTTCTGTTTTTTTTAAATTATTTAGAACTAATTTAAATACGACGTGGGCTTAAATGTTGAAAATAGTTTAATTACTAATTAAAATATAGTAATTAGCCAAATTTGGAGAATTTTAAGTGAGAGAATTTTAAGAAAAAAGTGTTCGCCAATCTTTACTGCATGATAGTCAGTAACTGCTTATGGGCCGATGGAAAAAAACAAATTAAAATGCAGTAAATGTGATAAGCATACAACTGTTTTTTACTGTATTTCCGAAATTTTGATGTTTTTTCTGATAACCAATTAAAACAGTAGGCCAATGGAGAACCTCAATTTAAATATTTTAAATGAAAGTTGAGTTTTATAGATTATAGTAAGTTTAAAATTTGTTTGTTAACGGGTTTTTATTTATCATAATTTAATGCACTAAACACACCTTAAATATCAAAACTGTAGAACATAACGGCTTTTGATTTTAAACTTAATATAAAGTGTGATTTATAGTTCCATGAATTTAATTGACCATTAAGATCCGATAACAGCTTTTATTAAGACGTCAGGACCTTTTTTTTTTGGTGACTGAGGGCCTCAGCGGTCCCCCCAGGTCTGCATTTACGCAGGACGGAGATCATTTAGCGACCTCGATTCTCGAACATAACTTGCTCACAGAAGGAGGTGGCAGAGTTCCACGCGCTCTCGCTCTGTACTATGGCCACAATCATGGTACCGAGCGAGAGAACTCTCACTCCGATGGCCGTCACAAGACCATACCCCTGCTCCACCCAACGCTGGGTATTCTAGCACCGTGTGGAGTGCTTTTGAGCGCACGCTTTTGCCACCGCAATGGTGGCACCCAGGCGTTGGTTCTTTGCGGATCAGACACGACACGATATGACAGGGTCCCGTGTTTCCTCTCGAGCCAATCTTCCATTAAATGTCGTGCCTGGCGAAAGGAAAGGAAGGAAAGACTTGGTTGCCCAAATCTCTCCTTCCACTTCTCCACGAGGATTCGGCGGATTTGGGATTTCTGATCCTCGATTTCTCTAATCCCAGGATCCCGAACCAGAACGCCAGAGGCTAGGCTATATACTATGGGGCTGGATCAGATTTGTGCAGACACACCTCGGGATCCAGCCGCCGAATCCTCACGGTGCGCCTTACCGCACGCCGTCACCCGCGTGTCGTCCGCATAGCAAGTGACGGCGACACCATCCAAGAAGCCTAGCCTCTATCTTCCTAGCCTCTAGCCTCTATCTTCCTAGGTATCAGAAAAGGAAAGCATAAAAGTAGTGGCAATTACGTAAAACAATAAAACCTAGATGTCGATATATATAATATGTCAGAATACCATGTAATTAATACCTGTGTTATGCAAATAAACAATCTGAATCTGAATCAACCTTAAACATCTCTATAGAATTAAAGAATGGTTAAATTGCGTAAGTATGTGCATACTTACTAACACAGTTCTTATTATGTTTGGCATAACTATATTTTTTCTTTGTTAAAAATTCTGCGCGCGCGCTCTTTTGTAACCTCGCGCCCGTGCCTACTTTGCCTTAGGGATAATCCGCCTCTGAATATCTACACCTACAAATAATTGAAATTCGAGCGTTTATTTATTTTAAAATGTAAATAATAACAAAAGAAATCAATTAAAAATAATAATTTTGATTTGTCCGTCTGTATGGTTGTATCAGCGAATCCAGACGGAACAATTTCCCGGAGATTGTCACAAGCAGATTGCTAATGTTATAACGAATATCTTAGGCTACTTCAAGTTTGGAAAAAAAAATTGGGTAGAAGAGTACATCTTCACAACGCTACAGACATTCATGGATTTAGAATAAAATAGAATAGAATTTCATTTGCTGTACACTAGTTTAGTACATCATACTCGTACATACAAGAGTTTATCTAATTAACGACCATTTACAAATGGCGGCCTTATCGCTAAAAAGCAATTTCTTACAGGCAACCTTTGGATGAACAAAACGACTCTTAGATAGACGATTT